GAGCAGCCCATTGTCCCAGACGTCCTCGCAAAGCCGTGGATCTGAAACGCCACGCCAATGTTGAGTGTCGGGTTAGCACACCGATCGGACGTCCAACCAACGTATTGTAGTTTAGATCCAGGATCCTCAGAAGGGCTAACACTTCCTTCTCCGCGATCCCATAGTTTAACTCATTCGACTTCAGAGTACGGCTCCCAAACGTCGCAAACGTTACGGGGTAGTAGATCTGGTCGTATTCTTGCATCAAAGCTCCCGAGATGGCCCAGTCGCTAGCGTACACCACCACTGTGGCCTTCCGATCTGGATCAAAATGTCGTAAGATCGGAGTTGTAGCAATCCTGGTTTTAAGCACGTTGAAGGGCCGATGGGCGTGGATCCAACGCGGATCCACCTCGGTAGGATCAGACACCACCAGATCCAAGGTCCTCTGGTGGGCGACCTTCAAATCTTCCTGTGACCCTGGATCCACGCCTTCTGCTTCCAGTACTTGTTGGATCCGCCCTTGGGTCGCCTCTTTCGCCATCGCGGCAAAGTCGATTTCTCGCAATTCATACAGGACCGACGCGTAGATCGCGTAGTCTTCGATAAATCGACTATAGTAGTTCAGGCTTCCTAGAAATGACTGCATAAGCTCGAAGTGATCCAGGGAATGCTAGATCCGTCAATGACGACAGATCTTTTGGATTCGCCTCCAGTCCATTGTGTGAGACCTTATGGCTCAGGTATTCGACCTTGGGCATTCCCCAGAAACGTTTGACTACAGTGATCGACAGGTTCCATTTATCGCACGCTTCGAGCAATCCCTCGGCTCGGTCACATAGTTGATCCCAGTTATCGGCAGGGATCAGGATGTCATCGATGTATGATCTGCGGCCCAACACCGAAGGCTTGCCTGGATCCACTGGTTCTCCGTCCTCAAACACATCCACCATACTTCCGTGATCTTCAGCCCCCGGGATCCGGGTAAACCCATACAATGCATTATCGATCATGCGTTGATAGATCTGGGGCGCGTTCTTCAGGCCGAAAGGCATTCGATTCCACTCAAATAATCCAAAAGGAGTGACAAAAGCCGAGATCAACCGAGCACGATCCGTCATTTTCACTACCCAGAATCCACTTGCCATGTCCAAAGAACAGTACCAAAGTGTCGACTCCAGATCCTCGAGTAGATCGTTGATCAAGGACATTGGGTATACAATCAGTTGTGTCAGGCTATTAACCAAACGATAATCGATACATAGCCTGATATCCACCCCATTCTTCTTAATGATCACCACAATGGGGGAAGCCCATGGTGATCTGGAATAGT